TTTTGTTCTGTTTATGCACGTCCTATGCATGTGCTTAAAGCGTGTTATGTATGGATCATGTTTTGTTCTTTTTATGCACGATTTCACGCCTACTATAGTTTTTTTCTGGCCCTTTGGCACATCTGCGCCTTTCGGTATGCGCCTTTTCCCCCGAGTTTAGGCGATGGCCTGTCCTGTGTTTTCGGTTTTCGGACCGGTTCATTCTTTGGACACCTCGGATGTTCTCACACGTGTCTGGTTTGCATTTTCAGACCAATGCGTTTGCTGACTCCCGTCTCTGCTGGTGGCAGAGTCTGCTGATCAACACCCCGTCCAGGGTTACGCTTAATAAGACAGAGAAGGTAGGTATCAGGGGTTTAGAGTTTATTGTAGGGTTGCGCTTAGTAAGACAGGGAAGGTAGGTATCAGGGGTTTAGGGTTTATTGTAGGGTTGCGCTTAATAAGACAGGGAAGGTAGGTATCAGGGGTTTAGGGTTTATTCCAGGGCTACGCTTAATAATACAGGGAAGGTAGGTATCAGGATTTAGGGGTTTAGGGTTTACTTCAGGGTTACGCTTAGTAAGACAGGGAAGGTAGGTATCAGGGGTTTAGAGCTTTAGTAATTATTCCAGGGTTACGCTTAAAATGACAGCGCAGGTAGGTATATCTCAGTGCATGCCATGGCCCAATGAAAGTTCATCGGAAAAGGCTTTTGAAAACGGGGTTTGTTATCCAGGGCAACCTGATCATAACATTAACCCTAAAACCCTACTCTGAACGGACATCAGGCCACTACGGTGACGTACGAGAGCCCCTCCACGGGCGAAAGACTCGTGTTGGAGACAGTCGAATTGCTGGACGACAATGTGCTCGAGGTAGGTAGACCAATCCCGCTTCATCCCGGTATGGAAGGGTTGTCGAAGGGTGGACTATCCTGTGCGGAAGGTCTTGTATGTATTTAAACTGTGCTTTGTATTAATCCAGTACAACCCATTCGTGCCGTGGCTTATAAGTCGTGGGGTTGTTTCGGACCGTCCAGAGTTGGCTGGGTTTACCGTATCTCTCTCCAAAACAAATGTGTATACATACATGCACGCACGCACCCCTGTTCCAACACACACACACACACACACACACGCACACACCCCTGTTCCATCCGATATATGAATCTGTACTGATACATGCCAAATCCACCCATCCCATCACAAAGCGAGGGGTCACTAGGCTTGCCACACATCTATAGACAAGAGATCACAGTTGTACCTATATCCCACCGTACCATATGATACTGAGTCAGTAACCACCTTGTCATTGCAACCTCTGTCGCTAACACCTTGTCATTACAACCCCTGTCACTAACACCTTGTCATTACAACCCCTGTCGCTAACACCTTGTCATTACAACCCCTGTCACTAACACCTTGTCATTACAACCCCTGTCACTAACACCTAGTCATTACAACCCCTGTCACTAACACCTTGTCACTACAACCCCTGTCACTAACACCTTGTCATTACAACCCATGTCGCTAACACCTTGTCATTACAACCCCTGTCGCTGGTAGGCTCACAGGCAAGCACTCAAGGGCAAAGCTAAGTTTATGATCCTCAATCAGAAGGGGATTGCGCTCGAGAAACCTCACGTGCTTCACACACACAGCTCCATCGCACATTGCGTAAACGCATTGGCCCTGGATGCGCTTGGCGACAGAGCTGATGAAGGTACGTGCTGTTTGACTTACACGTGTTGCTGAGCGAGCTATCTACAGGCTATAGGCTGTGTGCTATGTTTGACTGTATGACTACCCTGAAGGTACGTTTACTTAGACTAACTATGATACGTCTCTGATATAACATGCGATTGATGTGGCAGTGTGTCGCACACCACGACATTGAGCACAGTATATGATCGGGTTACAGTATCGTATGATTAGTGAAATAGCTATTCGCATCGTTTATTAAAGCAGAAGACATATGCAATATGAATACATACATACATAATACATACATACACACATACACATACACACACACACACACACACACACACACATATATATATATATATATATACACTACTATACTATA